GCCATTTGAAAGCACTTATGTGAGAATCGGACCGGAGTCGTCTAAGTACGAGCTCACGCCTTTGTTCACTGGACCATCCGGACCAGATCAAGAGTCTCTATCATCAGGATGTCGAAAGCGAGTCAAACACCAAGGGCATTCCCTTGCGGTGAATCAATGCACCCAACAACGCACTCATGATGTCTCCTCGATGGATGACAACTCGTTTGCCGGGTTTATAACCAATGGTTCTAATCTTGTGCCGCAACTCACTCCTGGACGATGAGAGTGTCGCGGTAAAGTTGCCTGTATTTCAGCAACCTGTCACTCCCATGAGTCTTCGTTTTTCGAGTTGCATGCCATAACCGAAAAAGGTTATTTTCACCAGAGAACGAATGAGCCCAAGCTACGTTATTATGGTGGTACAGGATGGGTGTTAGAACAGCGTGCTCTGCACGGACAATAACAGTTTTCCCCCTTTGACTGTTTGTTCTCATTCATCCAATCCATTCGTTCTAATTTTTTCCAAGAAAAAAGCAGGCTTCAAGCTGCTGTTTTCCAAATTTGTGCAGCTTCACTACTCTGTGTGGTGTTTTGCATCGACTGGAGCGAAAGGACTAAGGGTTCACCCGAATGGCCGAAATAGATTTGGGTAGAGTTGGATCTTGCAGCTGTTTATCGGTTAATTTCGCTGCCTTGAATGCATGTTTGGTCGTACGACCATCGGTAATAACAAAGGCTTTAATCAGGCATTGCCGGATTCCTTGAAAACAGGTCCTGGTATCGCAACTTCTCCCGGCATGTTTTGCCGACAACTAGTTTACTCCGATACCCCTGGTGTCATTCATTACTAAAGCCCATGTGTTCGCAGTGCGATAACAACTGGAAGTGCTGACGCCCAAAAACCATATAGATCCTCGGCACAGAATCGGACGAGAATGACCTTTGCCAGTTGTCCGAAATTTCCGGTTTTTTTGTTTTTAGACCAACACAGATTGAATGTAGGGCATCTCTTCGAAATGTCATTGTCAGCCTCGGACAGATGTACGAGAAAGAATATTAAAAAATAAAGGACTATGGGAGTCATGTGATCCTATCATTTGACTGGCCGATCACATGAGTGCTGTTACCTGAACGAATCACTTGAATACAAAGTTTAAGCTGGCGAATTCTGATGCCACTGGCTTTTATAAGGTCTTCATTTGGATAGACATTACTCAGTTTTCGGGTGCTCTGTAGGTGGGTATTAAAGCTACGGTGGCATTCATGTAGTGTTCCGTGTCCAATAGACGGTCACGTTCCAGATAGTACCAGATGAAAAAACATTACGCGTTGACGTCACTACCTCACGGTTCATTTCCTGAAGTGATGCATGTACACACAAGCATCCAGTGTTACAATTCGTATGAGGTAGGTGCGCCCACATCCAGCTGGTCTGTTTTTTCCATGGGGTGTTTATTATGTACCCTGAAAGGCAATCTTCCATCTGTGTTGATGCGCAACACTCTTGCCATATCCGGTTTTCAAGTTTTATGACTATGCAACGGTAACCAGGCTTTTATTTGTCCGCCTCCCCCCACACACATTTGTATATCTGTTTTCACCTTAGGAACATCAATCCAGCGTCCGCATGTGGACAACGCTTTGTTATAGTTTCAGAAGCATTGTCTTTGATCACCTGACTTTACAGTTTAGACCGCGCTGGACTGCTTGTTACTTTGCTTGCTGTCCGTTAGTTGCTCAGTGCAGGAGAATACAGTTAAAAGTTGGTCGGTGTGTGTGTTCGGTTGTACAGTTCGCTTCAGCATCATTAGGGGTCGCATTTGCTCTGTTTTGAGTGCATGTTTTTGACTTCAATAAAGACGCTGTTAGGCTGTGAAAAATCAGCGATTTGTACTGGAGTTGAATTCGCTTTTCAGTGCTTTTGCGACTGTACGGGACGTTCACGATATGAAGGCTTCAAAGTTTTGCATTCATCTGGAAGTTTTACTCATCTCTTTTGTTTATTATGGAACACAACGTCTCAGAGAGACTGACTGAAATGTGTCCTAGGTTGTAATTCGCCATCTAATCAACGGGGCTATGTGTTGACACTCGTGTCATGGTTGCGTTGTATGTGTGTCGAAAAGATGCCGGGGCAGAACGGACCTATTTTACTAGTTTTCAAGTGTTTTAGGCACCAATTAGCTCCTAAAACATAGGCTTTTCATCACCCGTTACGTTGACGTCACCGGTACGCGGTCGTCTAGAAATTGATAAGACAAAAGGTTGCATCTTCGTCCGCACAGGCAACGCCTGGATTATCCCTGTGCAACTAGGAGGAAGCCTTGTGGAGGCAAACGAAAATAAATCCTATCAGAGCTTCGCATATGCTGCACTCCCATTCTTGTAACAAAGTTCTTATGAATTAATGAGTTACGCTGGCTCAAAGTCTTTGAGTCAAATACGATGGATGGAACGATTCTCTAGAGTGTCTGTCAGGAGACGCTGATATTGTACTCCACATTTTTAGGTTTGGTTTTCGCATTTTCAAGGGTTCAATCGCGTCCTCAACAAACCCGACAGTGGTGTTTCATTGCCACCACTCGTTTGCTTTGGATAACACTTCTGCGTAGCAGGTGGTCTGAGAACATGGACATCCGCCATCTAGGACATTCGTTCGGTTGTAGCATCCTTTCGTTGCCTATCTTTCATGCCACCAGAAGGAAGCACGAGGACAGGGATACTGCCCAAGCCTAGATAGAGGAAGCCGAGAGGCAGAGGTTGGGTTCGAACCACGGACCTTCCGGTCAGGAAATTCGCACTCTAACCACTTTGGCCATTTCACCCGCGGCCGGAGTCTCATAGATGTGACGGCTGATCGCCGCTACCGGCCAGCGACAGCTTGTGACGTTATTGCGGTCCATCCATTCTGTCTCAGCAGAAGTTTGCACTAAAGTGGTATGTAATTGCAAACAGTTAACACAGTACGGCAGCTTGGGACAGGCCCTTGTGGAGACAAAGGAAGATTATTGTAACCGTATTCATGGCCTCATCACAGAATATCCCACAAGGTCGCACCAGAGTCTTCGTGAGGGGGCGAGAAGCGTCGACCTAGAGGTGTTCGATTCAGATTGGCTCACACTCTGACCAATCAGGGCATGCCTCTGTTTGGTCCGCACGTGACACATCCGTCCAACCGATGTGATGTTCGGTTTTTAAGAGCGACTGGCCTCCGAACACTAAGGCATCCACATCGAGGTGCCGTACCATACGGTTATCGAGTCATGACAACTCAAACAGGCTAACGACTGCATTTTTTCAACAAGACGACCAGAACAACAGTACAACCACTTGGCCATCCAAACATAACTCTTTTCGGGGGGGTAGGGCGGCTAAAATTCCTGAAAACGGTGTTTCACAATGACAGTTGAACGACGTTGCAAAGAAGATTCAGAAGCGCTTGTCTGCAAATCGATACCGAATACCATAAGCGTGAGAAGATAAGACGATGTAGTTGGGTTGAACTTATGGAAGAATTTTGATGAGTGGCACATCGCCAAGCCGAATTACCTAGTACAATCTAGCCTCCAAACCAAACAGTTGCTCATACTGGCGATCAGCATACCAGTGTGTTGCCAAAGTGTGCCTTGGCGTATCTTCTTTTACAGTCCTCTGGAAATACCTACGGCGAACCACTATGTCCTTGACGTGTATCCTCGGGTTTTTCAATGGCAAATGTCTAACGTCTTGCTTCTTTATTCACTGCAGCGGTCGCCACAGATTCATAAGATATCGGGGGTGTACAACAGGGCTTATTTTGGTGCACTAGCTGGTTCCAGGACCTTTTTGCCTTGCTTACCGGCTCGATCAGGTCGAGCATCTTTTTTGATAAAGACCGACTTCGGACGGGGATTTTATACGAATTGTATCTGCGACCCGCTTCAGAATAAGGCCTGATAATGAAATCTTTGGTCAACAGGTTGAACTGTTGGAAGTACGAATGTCTTGCAAAGCCTATGTACTTTTAACAGATGGATTGAACTCTGTGCCCAGAGGAATACAACATGAACTCTTGCCTTCACGAAAAGGAATTTTGGATTCGCTGCGCCCCATTAGCACCGACAAAGGGACGGAGAATTGGGTGCCAACTTTCAATCACGTTCTTGAATCTTTTTAGAAGTTCTCTACCCTCAGTTTTGATGAGGCGAGGGACAAACCGACTGGATAGGATAAACTGTACCACAGTCATAACAAGTAGCATATCTGAGCCGCCAGTTGTGATAAGAATGCGTTTTACTACAGGAGGAACAAGTATCCGATACTTGCGTGTACGTGAGCCATAGCTGATCGAAAGTGGGATTCATTTTAGAATTCTTGGGATACCATAGAGTGACCCCCTGTGGACGTACAGGCTGACTCACAAGATACATACGGCTTGGTATGTGTGTATGGCGTAACCGACGTTATGTGGATTCCGTAAATGGCGCTATTTACCGTCTAAGGGCGAGTTACTCACACTCGTGGCCAATTAGTTGTGCTCAAACTACTAGGCTTGTTCAGAAAAAAAACGAACAGTTCCACAACCAAGTGTGCGTTTTTCGCAATAAATCTAAAGACATGACGGTCTCCTTCTCTTCTGTTGGTGCGTTACGACCATGGAAGCGTGTCCTGAAGCCTAAGAAATAGTTTTCGACTACCCGGAGCAGGTCCGTTTGGGGTCTCCAACTTTTCTAGACCACAGGTTTGAACCTGTGACGCTTCGCTCACATATGTGAGGGAAGCGTGTCTGAAGCCTAAGAAATAGTTTTCGACTACCCGGAGCAGGTCCGTTTGGGGTCTCCAACTTTTCTAGACCACAGGTTTGAACCTGTGACGCTTCGCTCACATATGTGAGTGAATTTTACAACTGAGGACGCTGATACTAATCAATGTCACATTCATTATTAGTACACACAGAACTCCGTAATCTAAGGTTAACAATCACACAGTTATCGACAGAAAGAACCGTTTGACTGTAACACCCTTTTGGCGCCTAGCTGTCATGCCACCCTCAGGGCTGGGATACTGCCAGGTTGCCCTGGCCTAGACAGGGGAATTCGAGAGGCAGAGGTAGGGTTTGAACCACACACCTTCCGATTAGTGAATTCGCGCTCCATCCACTGAGCTATCTTGTCGACAAAAGAGAATAAGGTCACAGTTATCCCTATCACTGCGCGATGATGACATCTTGTATTATCTATGTTACAGATGATCAGAGCACAGCTTGTATCGTTTCGTATCAGTTCTTTTCGGTTGAGGGGTCACAAAGGGCCAGGGCAAGGGTCACAAACGGGTCGTTTGTGTGCCAATTGCCATTAGGTCCAAGCGGCTGAGCAAATCTCGTGAACCTTTCCGGGGAATAAAGGAATGCTGAAGACTTGATTTGTTGAACTTCTCGGAAGTCATCATTTGGTTGTCTCTCCGTCTCAGAATTAATTCTCTTTTCTACTGTCACTTGTCACTGTATATTTGAACGACCTTCAGGAACAAGCTAAGATCATCTGTCGGTTTACTTATTGGGGTCGGGTTTACGTTGGTTCTTACCTGTTCACACGTTGTCGAATCAACCTTCGTGATATACGGGTGGCATCTGTCCTCATATATATGCCCCATATCAGTGGATCTGTATCCCGCTGGTCGTCACATGACCGGCTCATTCACCTCTTGACAAGAAAGAATGTACTTTTGTTTTGTTTCTTGCCTTGGATTGTACTTCGTTTACTCTGAACTTCCCCTATGAGCCATATAAACTGATCCCGCATTTGCCTCCATATTGTTGGCGTTGTTACCATGGCGTCCAAAGTGGTGTTTTGGGATCAGTTCAGCTGATTTTGTTCACTAGAGCTATTGGTTGTCTGTACTTTGTTGCCCAATCAAATACGAGTGTCTGTTGATAACAAAACCTCTTCCCTTTCACACTTTAATAACTTTACCTCTGTTTATTGTGTACCTATCAGCTCTCTCTGTGTGTCTGCTACTGTTTTCAGCAAGCATGGAACTCGCTGCGCTGGACAAGTTGCGGCCGAAGGAAATAATTCCAAGTGTATGGTTGGAATTGCATTTAATTCTCGCATCGGAGGTAAGGTTTGACGTCGCCGATCGAGTGGACTACGTTCGTTTGACAGAACTGTTGTGGTATCGGTCTAATATTGATTGGTATCTTAGCCTCTGCAACCATCGAGTTCATTTAGTTTTATCACAACTGATACGAACTTCTATCTCGAACCCCTTGTCACCAAGCTCTCCTTCTCCACCATCAAACCGTACGTTCATTGCTACCTGTTCTCGAATCTTCGCGACTAATTTCTACCTTGTTTGTCCATCTCTGGTGAACTACAGGGACGGATTCGCCAATCAGCATACCCTGCGCCTTCCCACCTGTAGTAGTTATTACGTGCACCAAGGGAAATCGTGTTCCGAGATCCCCAACTTCCCAGGCTCGGTTAGGCTTTCAACTTTACTAAACCTACCCTCATCTTAAAATCTATGATGGTAATGTGTCGTAGTCTGTTCTGGAATACTGAACGAAAATTTTGAGCACGTACACACTCACTCCGCGCATGGAAATTCTCCAGACTGCATGCCAAGATACCTCATTTGTGGCCGCTCAGCACAACAGTCGTGAGTGACCTTCGTATCGTCGAATTTGTGGACAGATGCTTTTGAGCTTCAAATTACATTGGTGAGCGCCCGCAACTGCAAGTGCCAAGCCATTTAGACTGCGTGACGTTGGCTGCATCATCATCATCGACAGCATGACACCGATGCTTCGCTGCCGTACGAGGAGGTCGAACCAAACAGAGAAGCTGAGTTCGACTCACCACACATCAAATTATCTGATAGAGTCACTCGTTCAACTGAAGAGTGAATCTTTCACCTTGCAATTCCGGATCAAACCGCAACTTCAGATCACTAGCCTCTAAACAGGGGCGTCGCTCAGTGGCGACATTCAAAATTCGCACTGGATGCTTCATTCTAGTGACCACTTCTTGTGACGCTGACGTCAAATTTATATGCCTGTCCACTTTGGACAATCAGTTCATCACTCCTGTAAAGTACAAACGACTTTTAGGTTGCAGTTTAGAGATAGCTTGACGGGGCCTACCGTTTTTGCTGGAATGCTCGGAATATAAATCACCATGAAGACAGCTCGGCCTCATCTGAAAATGATCGCTGCAATGTAGACACGCAGGAAATCACTTATCGTTTGGGGATTCCGTAAACCTCTGGATATTGATAGCGTTCTTTTCGACAACAGCCACACACCTTAAGGAAAAGCGGCAAGTAAATGTAAGTGGCGAGACAGCAGTAGGCACATCAGCGAGTGTACACTAACATGTAGTGATACGTGTGTGGTAACGGTATTTTTCTCAGCTTTGCTCTCGGTTTGAGCCTCTCAAGCTAGCATTCACGTCAAATCGACCACCAGATGTGCACAAGGTGTAGTAACGCGTAGGCGGCAATAACTTTCTGGAAATTCCGACGCGTTCTGGATGCGCCATTGGCAACCGGCATTCGGCCAATCGTTCAGCTGTAGCNCCCTTTCCGTGCCTAGCTGCCATGCCACCCGAAGGAAGCACGAGGGCTGAGATACTGCCAGGTTGCCCAAGCCTAGACAGGGGAATTCGAGAGGCAGAGGTGGGGTTCGAACCACGGACCTTCCGGTCAGTAAATTCGCGCTCTAACCACTTGGGCCATCTCGCCCCCCCCCATTCGGCCAATACTGGGTCATGATTGGCTGTTAGGTCCAGACTTCCTACCAATCCGATCTCTTCTTGATGCCGGACCGGTAAGTGTCCCGAATTCTTGGTCAATCTTACGTGGGATGGACTTGTTGGCCGTAGCAGCACCCGAGTACGAGCGGTAAAGCGGGATCCGTGTGGAATTCCGCCTAACAACATGACTAATTAAGCGCGAGCGTACGACCTGTAGATTTAGTACTTGGTCGTTTAGTGAGGTTGGTACAGTCCGATCTTTCATGAGCCCCATACACGCAAAGTGTAAAGCACCGCTTCAAGACTGGGTGGGATCAAATCCTAACCTTAAGCTTGTAGGTGAGCCATTCGAGGAGGTAGACAAATTTGTCTACAGGTGTATCAGTCCCAATGGTCTGGCCCAAGATGATATTTCCTTGGGAAGGCCAGAGCAGTCTTCATCAACCCGCATCACCGGTGTCGCAACATCAACTTATCCATCAAGGGTCTACTTTGCAATGCTGAGGTGCGCACCATATTACTGTGCGGGTTAGAAACCTGGCCGCTGCGCGTCGGAGACGTCAGTGTTTGACCATCAATGTCCTTGAAGCTCTGTCCAAGTCTGGGGAACACCGGATCGGTAATGTGGGCCAAATGATTTCCGGAATAAATACCGATGGATCAACTGATCACACCTCGTGGGTTGCGCTGGCTTTGTTGAAACTGTCTAGTTGATGTTTCGATTTTTGGTGAGTATCGAAAATTCATTCAAACAATTTAGTCAGGTTGGCTAGTTTCATTATATACAAGTGACAAAGGGAGACTCGTTTTTGGCTGAAATTTTGTTAGATTTTGGTAACATCTCGCTTTATTGTCTTTGTCATCATCCACAATATTGAATCATCAGAATACACCAGAGGTTCAGTGCCGAGACGCTACGTTTTTCACACTAGGAAGAACATCGGAGACCTGCGGTTGCAAGGCCTCGTCAACATTGATGATCACTTTTTGTTCAGAGGGCTCTGTCAACGGTGGATACGCAGCGATGGGTATCCGATTCTGATAATCGTACCTTTGGGCGCATTTCGACACCTCAGGCGACAGACCTTTCAACTATGCTGAGTCAGACTGAGCAAAACATCCAGACGCAACGTGTCATAGCGAAAGCTAGACTTGAAAGTGCAGGAATTCCGACTGTTACGTTTAGCCACCATTTCAAACTTGATTAGCGTCCTTTCATGTTTGCACTTCTGTGTGTGTGTGTGTGTGTTCGAACGCAAACGAATCGAGTTGCAAAGCACTTCGCCTGGGACAAAGTGATGGCAACCGAAATCCGTTAGCCGGCAGTGGTGCCGGCCAGTCCAGGTTAGACCGGGGTTATCAGCTTTGAACTACGTCAGCAGGTTTCTTGTCCATTCGTTGAAAAACGGAATAAGGGTGTGAAACCTCACTTTGTTGCCACATTTTGTCTGGTCGTAATAGCCTCTCGAAAATATCAACACCCATCTAACTTTCTAGTGTTAAATAACAGCATTCATTTTTGTCTCACGCGTGTAGTTTTTTTATCAGAGCGGTAGTGTACTGAACCATTTGGTTTTGTGCGTTGGACGCTCGCACACCGGTGCGTAATTTTGTCTCCCAGAAAACAGTTGTGAGTTCAGGAAATAAACTCTGGATCGAAATTCGTTTTGGCGGAGTTAATCTGTGCAAATCAATTTGAAGAAGTCGGTAGAATCCCAAAAATGGTCAAATAGTGTATGTCATCAAACATTTTGAACGAATTCATGATTCCGAAACAATTGAGAACAGTGTCAACAAATCGGTTTTCCAGGAAACCCCAACACTCTAGAACGCTTCTTCTAAAGGATATCTCACGTTTTTTTTGTGTCGAACGGACTAACAAAGCACATCCCTGATTCACTTACCTTTTGATTTCTTGAGGTCCGCGGGCATGCAATACAGGCCAGCCACCGTTTCTTAGTATAACGATGACCGCATTCCACTACTTGGGCTGTTTTAGGACTTTATTAGAGCTTCTGTCAGTTGGAGAACCGATTCCATCGCTAGCTGTCTCTAAAGAACTAGATTTATACGTGCTTAGCTCAGTCTCATCACCGACTTGTCACAGAGCTTACGAGTACCGTCCCTGTGAACGATGTTCCTGTGACTTTTCGTATATTGCAAAGCACTGAACGCTGTAAGCTGTCCTCGGTGGTTGTCGGGTCGGTCCCCACTAAACTCGTCTTATCGCCTCCGATTGGCCAATCAGAGTGCGGCCACCCTTGGTCGCCCAACTAACATGAAGTATGCCGGCAGATAGAGCGCACTGTCGCTTGTGGTTACAGCCAGCTTGGTTCACCTGATGAGTGATTCAGTCAGTACAGTACACAAGGCTCACCAACGCGTACAAATCACCCTTGAACGAAGCAAAGTCACCGAGTCTGAGATAGGAGTCCAAGTGACTATATATCATGTGAAAACTATGCGTGAGTTTATATCGTTTCTACGTGCCCCTGTGTGCCAACAACCCGTTGTTGACATGCTAGGTTTTTTTCACTTCTCGTTACTTCATTACATTTTCATTTCGTTTCTGCCTTTTTCCCTCGTCTCCATTCGATTTGAACCGGACTCAATCTACTGCAAGGTATCCGCATGCTGGATGGTTACATCACCGATCGCCTGGAGGCAGATACGTTGCATTTCCGAAACGACCACATTCACATCTATTCAGGCAGTTGGGGTCCGGAAGACACGGGCAAGTTGTACGAAGGTCCAGGAGTGCTCACGCAGTCGGCTTTCCAAAAGGGCATTGCCTCGGTACGAACGTAACTGCACATTGGTACAGGCTTTCCTTTTGTTATCCAATTAGTGAATATGTATCGATTTAGTGCTAGTTTACCTCCGAAGCTAGCTAATGAATCACCTGATCTCGGACAAACGTAACAGCAGAAATGCTTACCAGAAAATGACCGGTATTAGTTAATAGACAAGGCAGGTGAAGACCAGCTGGCCTGAGTGTTTTCGCCTTCCCGATGTGTGGGTACTTCTTAATTCCTTAATTACAACCCATGTAGCCAGACGAAGGCTCAGTATAGCTGGCTCAATGGTTAGGGCGAGATATTACCAACCGGAAGTTCCATGTTTCGAACCCGACCTCTCGACTGCTTCCCTCTAGATTTGGACAGTCCGGTAGTATATCAGTTCTTGTGCTATGGCGGTCAGACTGGTTGATTTTTCATCCAAATCTAAAATCACCTTATAGACGAAATACACTACTTGTGAGGTTGCGAAAATTCTTCCCACGACTGGTTTCGCCTTTCTTGGGGTTCATCAAGTAAGTGCAGTCCCCGAGTTTCCCTAAACCTCATGTTCTACTTAAAACCAAATTGCACGAAATTAGCCCATTTGCAAACGAAATTGGTTTTGCGAGAGACTCATCTGGAACCCAGATAATCTCTCGTTTATGATGCTTGCAAATGGGTGTATTTCAGTGAATTCACCTTGTTTATTTCAGCTCTTGCAGCTTGTGGTTGAAAGCTTGTGTTAGATGCCGTTTTTTCCTTTGGCAAATGTTTTTTATTGTGCATGCCGCCCATGATCGGACTCTGCCGGATCATCCAGACTATTCAGTCGGCCAGGGAGAGGTTGAAAGTGGCAGATGTCTCTGATTACCTCATCAGATGCCGATTGTTTTCTTGATTGCGAAAGCGTTACAAAGGGTGGTAGAGTGGGGATGTAACGCGAAGGCGGCACGGTGCTTCAGCCAACCAGTTTCTACGCTTGTGGACATGTCGGTCGCCACTGCACACTGCGTGTTACATATTCAGTGTCGATTTCCGGTTGGTCGTTGTATATTTCTATTGGCCATACTGCCCCACCAGGTTATGCTATTCGCGCTCTCGACGTTCAGCTTCGTATGAAGTGTTGAGCTAGGCTGTGCCGTGATGCGCCTCTGAAATAGGGTCGTCACACTTTGAATTCTTCATATTGCTGCTAGTTATGCGTATTTTCGACAGTGCCGTAGTGCAGGGACCCCTGATCCGATAATCAAACTGGCATTCTTTCTGTGGCCACCGGACTGAAAACTACTCAAGTCATCCAATAGGAACCAGTACTTGAGCGCGCGTTATTTGTGCCCGTATCCATGTATCATTCCACCAGTACCGCCCACCTGGTCGACTCCCACCGCGGTTTATCCTTCGTGAAATCTTTCACTCCGTGTACCCTCCACAAAACATTGGCGATGCCTTTTCAACCAAAGCATGTCTAGCGAATCTGCACTAAAAAGGATGTTTCTGATGGCATGAAACTTGGGGTTTCGGATGGGCTGTCAGAACATTCTCGAGTATTGCTTCTCCCTGGAATTGGGTGGTCGCTAATGCCTGAGCAGGATTTATCGACACCTGAACCCCGTCATGGTTTCCAGAACTGCATATTGATGTTGCCGGTCAATATTAGTGAAAGAAGGAAGGCCTTCGCTGCGGAGTTATTTATTCGGAAATGCCAACTGACCGGTTACAGACCATTGAACAAGGAAGCAAAACTCTAATCTGCATCTTAGTTACAAAAACTGGACACAGATCTTCTCCCGAACGAGTCTTCCCGGATATTCATTGATTCCAATCATTCCTCACTCAAATCCAAGCAAATGTTACAAAGTGGCTCCACGAATTCCGCAACAGAACCGTCCTTTTCAAAAGACGCAAAGCGAAATTCTACGAACAACACATACTACGCGCGTGCCTGCCCATCAGCATTAAAACCGTTACAATGGTAGGTAAGATCCTATTCACCAGCTTTGTTTTACATGTTGTTGCGTGGATCACCAATAAAATCTGGCCATTTTTATTACAAAATATCCTAGATAATTACTTCGGCGACACGCCAATACATACGAAGTGCAATGTTAGGCCTAATAAAGTTTCAGGTTGCTTTTTCAAGTTTACTTCTTTTTAAGTCGTAGCAAAAACAAGCGGGACACATGTTTTCTAATGGCAGCGCTAATTATTTCGGCAGAAATTAGTCTTGCACCTCAGCTTGACAATTTTAAGCGGATGATAGCAAACAGAGGAGAAGTGTTTATCTCTGTAGCATATTGAAGAATGCTTATCATCACAATTAGTGGGTTAAATCTGTCTGCTTACAATCCACCGGACAGTATGACTGGAAGAGAATCAATGGTTCGCTTCATAACTTTATGTATTGCCGGCATTTGGAAACCGGCATTAACCAAAAATCTCAACAGTCCTCGGAAAGCTTGCTAAACATGGAAAACGGCACTCTTAGCGTAATTATTAGTGATTATTCTGAGGAAAAAACTCCCGGTCTATTATCAAATAATGCGTAACATCCACCGGAAAAGAAGAATCTCATTATACGAACGGGACTTTTGAGGCACGAAAT